TTAAAGAGGTACGTCTATTGAATATTATCAAAAAAAAAAATCATTACATGGATCTCTTAAAATATTGTAACTTGGACCTGGCTTGTTTTTTTCTGGTGGAGCCATAAAGGGAGGTAATAAAAAAGATAGTTTAGCATTATATTCTAACCGTATTGCAATCTTCATGAAAACTTGAAAATGTTGTTCGAGTCGCTTATTGTTAGAGCCGATTAAAAAAAATACGTGCATATCTCCATAAAACTGCACTATAACGCAATATTTCTAAGCTTATTAAATGCAAAGATATAATAATTAATACGGAAAGAAAAGAAAGTACTCTATTAAAATGGAAATAAGCAAAGTCAATTTTCACTGCAATAAATTAAAAATGTTATACAAGTATAATACACGGTTTTGGTCTTATAGATCCGAAACATCATGGAAGGATTGAGTTATAATAAGTAAATATACTTGCTCAGTATATTTGGAAAATTGTACATATTTATAAATGATTTGCATAGCGAAATGAAATGGCCATTTCTAATTCTACAAAGAAAAAGAGGACTTAATCAATCAATATCATAATAATGCATCGAATAAAGATCGAAAATTTGAAGCTGTACTTACACTTGCACGACTAAAGGGTACCTCGTGATTTCATCTTCTCTCAAACCAGGCGGCAAATGTAGTCTCACTTGTGCGTTGTACCCGCCACTCATTTGTACAGGAAACGTTTTTACTTGCGGTAGTGCGAGATTAGCAACTCTTTCCTAAACAAATTGTTTATACAAAGATTAGAATCCATAGAATAAACACAATTAAAAGAAATATTTCATATCTGAAAAAGTTCGCGCGATTTTCTATTAATAGTAAAAATAACAACGTTCTTAATGTATTCGCGAAGATAAAATATAATAAACATTATCATTGATAATTTTGTTTGCCACTCTGTTAGTATATGCTGCTTTGACTCCATTTTTTGTAGTACAGTGGAACTTCGATTATTCGAATTTATCACAGAAACACTAGTGTTCGAATAAAAACATAGTTAATTAATTAAACTCCTACATTAAATCTTTACTGATTTTAATATTTGTTTTTATTTATAACTGGACTGCAAATTTTATGCAGTTTACATTGTTATTTGGCTTACATTTCTTACAAATAATTTATTAGACAACTTTTTCCTATATAAAAACCGCAGTCTACTAACAAACGATTTTGCAAACAGGCGCATCAATAACGATAACAAGACAAAAACAGCAATTACTTTATACTTTATAAGTAAAATTCAGGATATTCACTCTAGCTTAAAGTACGAGCTTATGAAAGGCTGAGGAAGAGTAAGAAATACTAAACAAAATAATACATTCTGACAATATTCAGATTACGCATCATTTCTGTGTGAAATCTTCGCATGAACTCTCTCGCACGAAATATTTCAAGTATTACTGAATAGAAACAAGTAATATACAGGATGTTCACGCTATTACTAGCTAGCGATTTTTTCGAAAACTATTGTGATTAGAAAATGGTGAGAGAGGGAAAAGTTTGATAGCTTTTAATAGTGTGTTTACAAATCTTTCTTCCTGATATGAAATTGTACGTTTGTACAACGTAACCAAGTGTCTCTCATTTTCAATCTTTTGTGCCCTCAAAGATCATCATATAGTACACGGATGAACTCGTGACATACGCTTTCAAATGACATAAAAAAGTATATGGAATTTCATTAAAAAATTGAAGATCTCCTTCATTTCTCGAAAAATAATGCAAAATTAATATGCACTGTCCTATTGACCATAAAAAACTATAAAACTTTTTCCTCTGTCATTTTTTCTAATCACAATAGTTTTCGAAAAAATCGCTGGCAAATAATGGCGCGAACATCCTGTATAAAATAAGAACAAGCAATAAATAAAAATGGAGCAAGTAATAGTGTGAAAGAAAAATGTGTCTTACACGTAATTGCGTATTGTTCTGCAAGACGTAGATGAGCCGTGGCATAGGTAGTTCAGTTTTGTACAATGCAACAGTTGGTATACTGGGCCCATAACACTCTAAAATAAAATAGTTCGTACTTCCCCGTGGAAAAATAGCATTATGGTATTGACACGGTTCTTCATTAAATGCTAGGAAAAGGAAAGAACTTGTATTAGCAGAAAGCAGTAAGCAACATATCGTAGAACATATTAGAAAAATATTCTTCGACGAATTCGTGAAAAAAAACTATGAATTCCATTCACAATTTTAGACAAACAATAATAATTGACATAAATAATTAACGGTAGACAAATAGTGATCATCGGGAAAATCCATGTTCGTTCTTTTTTTTGTAACCATCCACTTAGTAGTCTGGCAAATTCGTACACATAAACAATCTTTGATAAAATCAGTGGACGTATTTTAAAATGGAATAACTTCATTCGAATTGAACTAAATGTCTTCAATGTTTCGAAGGATATTAAAAGGACTAGTTCACTGGACAATGTCTAAAAAAGTTTTTGTGAAATTTGTAATACGTTTCTCAACTTTTTGTCCATCAGCTTCTAACGAAAATTTCATCGAATTTGATTATTATTTTTATCATCTAGAACACTCTAAAGAATCAGTCATCGTCAGTTGTCACTCCTTTATTTCAAGGTTGTTCTTCAAAAAACATTTCCAATTTAGCAATGTTATTTTTATGAAGAATGATGGATTACTGATTTTTTATATTGCCATTTGTGCTCGACAAGTGATGTTATAATTAGTTCATTAAATATTTGTTGCTGTTAAAGGGAGTTATTAGTTTCACCTACCTCAAAAATCCAACATACTATTCATTAATTATCACTAGACTGCGGATCTTTATGCAAAATAAAAATTTGTTGCATCTGTTGCAACAAACAAGAGCAACTTAGAAGATTTATTCTTTGTTTAATCACTTTAATCGGTCGAAAGTAGTATGTATCGGCTCTATTAAATGTTTATAATCTTTCTACTGTTTTCAATCACTGGTATTCATATTTATCATGAACACATAAAATCCGCAGTCCAGTTATCACAATAGTATTTAAAATCTGATCTAACGCATGAATTACCAAAATTAATCTAGGCTTTAATACTCACTTGGAGGTACATATGGTTTCGGTTTTTGTTTCTTCGTAGGTTTTTCCTTCGCCTTTTCTCGGTCCGAGTGTTGCGCGTTCTCTCGTGTCTCATAATGATCGCGTATATAATTATTATCGGTAGACGTGCTATGATGACGAGAGAGAACCGTTTGGTGATCATTTAAATTCCCCTCCGAGGCTTCTGTACATGTGATGCAGACAGCAGGATGCAGAGACGTGCCCACATTCGGTAACACAGAACTCACGTAATAAAGGTGTCTCTGACCTGGTCGCATCGGCGGTATACCTATAAAATATCTGTACAAATAAGTTAGATTAGAGTCATCAAAATAGCTCCTATAATGTTAACATCTTTCAAATCATTTCATTGGAAAGGAAACATTAAAAAACATGAAAATAAACTTAGTAATATTATTTCTGAAGGTATAATAAAATTACCTTCGTATTTGCAGCTAAACGAAATTTTGCGTGAGAACACGAATTTTTCAACTTGCGTTAAGAATAATCAGTAAATTTTATATTCAATTATTCTATTTATTTCTCATCTAATGTAACTTCTCAATGTTATTTGAAAGTCAACTTTTCATATTATAATCTACTCTTAAAATCTATTTTTTGCAGATTCTTATTCTACAGGAGAAAGTAAATATTTTGTCTCGATTATATTTTCTACAGATTTTACGTTAAAATGATGAAATAGATATTTATTTCAGTTTTACTACTCTCGAAGTAACTTTTTCAATTTTTGTGTGATTATTATTACATTTAATTAAATTATTATTATTATATTAAATTTAATTATAAACTAAATTTTGTATTGAATTATTAAATTATAATTATTATCAATAATAATTTCATTTCGTTATGGAATATTTTTTT